CATATGTCTTTCTCTGACTAACTTTGCTTAGCATAATATTCTCTAGCTCCATCAATGTAGTTGCAAATGACAAGATTTCTTTCTTTTTATAGCTGAGCAATATTGCATTGTGTATATATACCACATCTTTATCCACTCATCAGTTGATGGACACTTGGGCTCTTTCCACAATTTGGCTACTATAGATAATGCTGCTATAAATATTGGGGACAGACCTATACTTTAATGCATTTTTAATGCATCTTTAATGCAGAAAACATTTCTTAGTCTTGCCCTTTTGTATTTGGAGTCTAAAGCCAGTTAAACTTTCCAACCCAAAAGACTCCAAATTTCTGGGTTATTTCTTCTCCTTTTTTATCCCCCCAATTTTTATCACAAACTAGCCAATTCCACCTCTGGTTTCTATGTGTTATTAAATATAACCAGAAAATACCAAAACACACCACTAGCATTCCGTCTTCCAACCTCTTCACCTAGAAATCAGCCTCAGTATGCACAGAAGCAATATCATTATCAAATGTTTTACTTTTGCTTAACATGGTCCTCCATTTTTCTAGCCTCACCATCCGCTACCCACATACTAAGCCAATGCCACATAGGTTGGGTCTGGTTGTTGTTTGGCAGCATTCCACTTCTGTATCAACTGCATTAGCTAAGGTAATGTTCAGTGCTGTAGGAGAGAAATCCCATAATTGCAGAAGCTTAACCAAATAGAATTTATTTCTGTCAGACACAAGAATTCAATGTAGGTGTAGAGTAGGCAGCATTCCAAGAGGGCAAGTAGAGGATTCAGGCTCCTTCCATCTTGCATCTCCACCATAATTTAGAGCTCCAGAGTCTATTCAGAGTGGACAAGGAAATTCCTCACTTCCAGGAAAGAGACCTCACAATGCTTACTTGTAGGATTGTTATCACTGCTATTGACCAGTGGTCCGGGTATCCCCTTTCCCAAGTGAAAGATTTTATTGTAGATTTTCTCCCTCTGGTCATCATTACACAGGGTGTGTGTGCACAAGTTAGATAAATTGTCTTTTGAGTTCGTAGGTCACTAGCTCACGAGAAGCCACATGTCCTAATGGAGAGGACTGTGTATCTACTGGAGATCTGTATTTGAGTTACATATAGTAACTGCATGGAATTTTAGGATGTTTCCCTTGAGGGGGAGTATGTGTATTCAGTGTGAGGAATAAGGATTTTATAGAGATGCTAGGTGTGGCAAAAACACAAAAGATGCATTTGCTCATCAAAAATGCATGTTCCCTTTCTATTGTGTAGAGTTGTTTTGGGGAGGCTTGTGTCTACAGGTTCTACATTTCCCAGCATTGGTTGCATTTGGATAAGGTCATGGGACTAGTTCTCACCAATGGGCTATGAGTAAAAATAATTTATGTCACTTGCAGGCTGAAATGTTTAAGAAGCAGATATACCCTCTCCACTTTTCTTCCCCAGTCTACTGGCTGAAAATGAATGACCCCAAAGCCCTAGACAGTGGAGCTATAAGACAGAAGATCCCGAACCACTTCTGGAAAGTTGCTCACCAAATACCAGCATTGGATTCCTGTGCAAGCCAAGGAAAAAGTTTAATTATGTTAAGCCATGAATTTCAAGGTTTATCTGAATCCTCTGCTACTCTTACTCAATGATTATAAAGTATACATAGTCCTAAAAATTCTTTTGTGATTACAGGAGCAAAACATTTGGAAGCCACAGATCTATTCCAGTTCTTCCATTCTATCCATCATCTATCTATCTATCTATCTATCTATCTATCTATCTATCTATTATCTATCTATCATCTATTTATCTATTTACCTATATCATCCATCTCTTTATGTATATGTAATTTATCTATACATACAAAAACAAATATGAATTTAAGGGCAGATAAATAAAAATTTATTTAAATTTGTACATTTAGATTTTAGATAATGGTGTCTGATTAGAATGCAATTGCTTTAGGGCAACCTAAATCTGGGAATTTACCACCTCACTCTCTTACAATTTAAACTCAACCAGTTGAGCCCAAACATCTGATAGGATTTAATACGATGATCGGCATGTTTTAGTATCATTGAATCCTTCTTTAGCTTCTACACTGTGATGGTGAGATGGTATTTCTTTTTTTATTTTCGCAACAATATTTCTTAAGTACATAGCTGAAGTCACAGCATAAAACAAATAAGACACATGATCTTAAGGATGAGTGATAGGAATTAGTAATAAATCCATACATCTCTATGCAAAAGTGCATGGGCTGTTACTTATCTGCAAGATGTCTGCACGGTCATTAGCTATTGTGCAACTAGAACCCAGACCACTGCCCATTTTATCTTATGGAGTTAGAGTGTTATCTTTACTCATGCCTCTTAAAAATAAGCTTTAGTGGGTGCTAAGTAGCAAGCTCAAATCTATGATTACAGCAGGGTAAATATCAAATGTATGTTGTGTCTGTCACTTGTCTGGTTATTCTCAAATCCATTCCCTCCCACTATCCTCCTCAGCCCTATATCAGAGGGGGCAGATCCTGCAAACTCCATTTTCCTGACTCGAGAACAGAATACTGAAGCGCAGGCCAATAGGAGATTTCAACATCACTTCCTCCCTCTCCCCTCTCTTAAGGTGGCATGTCTGGCTATGGCTGCCTTCTCCAGGGTTCCACATCCCACCAGACAACTCCTGCCTTGTAGGCTTAGCTTTGCTTGGCAGCCTTCCCAGTGGCTTCTGGGTTCTGGTAATATCCTGAGTCCCACCACTTTGTAGTGCCTTCCTGCTGGTTGCTTTATCATCCCATCCTTTTTCTTTGGCTCTTCAGGTCTTCCAGTGCCTTTGAAACTCTGTCCCCATATTAGATTCCTTCAGACTTGAATGCTCTTTGCCAGACCAGACCTTAATCAATGCATGTCTGCACTAATATCTACATAGAATACAATTTATTGAAACATGTTCATATAAATGTACCAACAAAATAATGGTTCGGGAAATATTTGTTGAATGAGAGGATTTATGTGTGGAAGTGTTACTTGAAAACTGGGTGAAAAAGATATTTTAATGGTTTAAAATTAAACGTAAAAATTTCTGTTAAAGGGGCACCTGGGTGGCTCAGTTGGTTGAGCATCTGACTTTGGCTCCGATCCTGTTCTCAGGGGCCTGGGATCCAGCCCTGCATCAGGCTTCATACTCAGCAGGGAGTCTGTTTCTCCCTCTCTCTCTGCCCCTCCCCCTGCTTGTGCTATCTTTGTGTGTTTCTAAAATAATCTGTTAAAATTTAGTGTAACTATATGTGGATGATGAAATTCTAGTAAGAATTAGAAGTGGTGCTAAACCATTTGAATGGAACCATAGAATTAAAATGGTAGTATAGTCAGAAATTCAAAAATAAAGTCTAGAGGAAACGATTGTAGTCAATTTATTAAAATAAGTAGCTTTTGAACCTTTTTGAACTTTATTGTGATTCACAATAGTAAAGATCTTAGATTGAGAATGAGTACAATTTATATATGCATGCGATAACTGCTGTATTTTCTACTCACTTTCTTCCCTTCTCTTTCATCACATTTTATCCCATGTGACACACAGAGTTTTGAAACATGGTTCTAGGTATGTTAGAAAAACCATAATAGTCTTCGCAAATTTATCCAAGAGATTAAGATATTACTAGTCCTCGCTCACTCTGTCTTCCTCTATAGTGGCTATCTATTGCTTTTATTAGCTCAGTATGTTCACCCATGTGCTGGTAATGGCAGTGTAATTTTCCTCTTGGAATTATTCCTCTCCTTGTCTTAGTCCAGAGGGTTCAGGTCAACTTCCTGCCCACCTCTCCCATCCCCGACCACTTTTTTCACTACCTCTGGGGGAGGCATGTCATCTGGTTCTGGTCAAGCAGAATGATCTTTGAACACAAGGACCATCTCCATACTCAGTACCTAACCTAAGCAAGGCCAATGAGCTCTGCTGTCAGAAACAAGTTTTTTTGGGCGCCTGGGTGGCTCAGTCATTTAAGCGTCTGCCTTCGGCTCAGTTCTTGATCTCAGGGTCCTGGGATTAAGCCCCACATCGGGCTCCCTGTTCAGCTGGGACTCTATTTCTCTCTCTCCCTCTGCATCTCACCCCCCGCCCCCTGGCACATGCGCGCTCTCTCTCTCAAATAAATAAATAAATAAATAAATAAATAAATAAATAAAATCTTTAAAAGAAAAGAAAAGAAAGAAAGAAACAAGTTCTTTTGCCAGACTGGAAGCTGGTGAAAATCAGCTTATCGATCCCAAAGCCATCGTATGGACAGAGCTGCCTAGGAGGGAAGCTAACAAAAGGAAAGAGATCGAAGACTGACGCCAGAATGTATGACCCTAAAGCCAGTCACCTTTTCCCGTGCACGAGTAATTTCGCCTTTAGAAATTCCAATGAAAGAAAGAAGCTTCACTTCAAATGATAGTATGTGCAATGGCTTGAATTTTATTAAAAATTTACATTATTCAGACCTATTCAGTATCCTAAACTTATGAACAAATAGAACAAAAATAGAAATCACATAATCACTTATATTTTAAATGGCACAAGTATTTAAAATTATTTGGATACAAAATTTAAGTTTGTTGGACATATCAATGCCATTATCAAGTCTTAATCTTATTTCAGTGTCCACATACTTTTAGTTTGGCTGTTTTGGGAGCCCCCCCCAATTATTAAGAAAAGAACATTTGAAAAAAAATACATATTATTTACATTAGGATTTTCACTGAAAAAATACAATTAAAGAAATTAAAGCTTCCCCTCCCCCCAATTTAATGTTTATTTTTTTCCCAACCAGTATACAGAGATATCGTATAACATTATAGATTTATTTAAAGCTATTTATAGCAGATACCTTTTATATATTTTTTAAAGATTTATTTATTTGAGAGAGAGAGCAAGCACATGAGGGGGGAGGGTCAGAGGGAGAAGCAGACCCCCCGCTGAGCAGGGCCCCCCCCCCACCCCGGATGCGGGACTCAATCCCAGGACTCCAGGATCATGACCTGAGCCGAAGGCAGTCACTTAACCAACTGAGCCACACAGGCACCCCTATATATACAGCAGATACATTTTAATGTAAGATAAACTTTTACAATGTAGGTCACTTTTTTTCAGTTCTACTCAGTATTTGATTTTATATGTCTTCAGAGTTCAATGATTTGAAACAAATTCCACTCAAATCACAAAGTATACTGAAGGCTGCCAGTTTACAAAAAATGATCCATAAATGAGAAGTTTTAGCTACAGCATTGAACATTACAGTAGGAAAATATGTAAGATAAGAGACATTTCCACATGCCTGTATTATTCCCCGACTAGTTACTGCCACAATGTGTGAACAAGTTGATGCATGATTACAACTCTTCTCTATCAGACATTCAGATGCTCACTTCTTCTTGTTTTTCAAATACGTTATGTGAAACTCTGGACAAGAATTATTCATATTAAAATTACACCTTAAAAGTGAAGGCAATAGTTCTCTATGGCAGAATTAAAACAGAGCAAGATATGATAACACTCCCGTGTCTCTAGAAAAATCCTCATCAATCTCTCACATGGACGGCATTTGCTCCAAGCTGGGAGCTTTGGACTTAGCAGGCAGAGCGAATCACTAATACAATATTCTATGAAAAAATGATTGATTTGGAAATCTTGTGCTTTCACTATCAGTGGCATTAATTATTGCTTGCAAATAATGTTACCCAAAGCAGTTGCATTTACTGATCCTATCTTAAAACACTTGACAGGGAAAATAGCAAAACACCACAGGCTAACTTTACCTCTTGTTATTACGACTTTGAGCACACAGAAACATTTACAATTGAGGCTGTGACAAAACTAGTTTTTGTCCTCAATAGCTATACATAAAACACTAAATAAATTCTGGAGATTAGAAGAAGAAAAGAGTTTTATTAAAAATCAGGCACTATGGAAATTGGTTACTTCACAAATGAAGTAACCTGAAAAATGTTATATTTGTATTTTTTTCCTTAATGAAGTGATCTTAAATATAATATTTTAAGAAGCACTATCATTTTTGCTATAACTGTTAAATGTTTCATTCCTGAGATTTCTGGAGAAAATTAAATTTCTTAAAGTAAGCAAACAAGAAAGAAATGGTCTTCCTAGATGGGAAGCTGAACTGTGGATCAATATCTCAGTCAGTTACTTTCTGTCATTTTCCCATACATCAGGTTTTTCATTTGGGATATATTCACACTGTAGTTTATTCTTTTAACTACTGGCCCCAAAATATGCCACATCTTTAAAGAGCTGAAATGCTCAGCTGAAAGATGGCATATAAGTAAAAGTTATTGTTACTAAAAATTTGCCATTGTAGGTAGCTTCTTTTTTTTCAAGTGAGAACATAAAAACAAAATGAGATTTTTACATCTGGTTTGATTTAAATAACAATTCAAGTATTTCCTTTAAAATGATATTCTGAAAAACATTAATATTTATGTACCACAAATTTAAATACATTTTTCTGAAAGGCAGAATATTCCTTGAATATCCTTTGTTTTAATCATTACATAGACTATAAAGATCAAAAGTTAGCTTTGGTTCACATCCCTGTTTTTGATAGTTCCTGACTGTTTTTATCCAAATACCTAACTTATCATTTAGAGATAAAGTTAATATCAAATGCACAGAGGAAAGCTTCAGACAATAACACAATTACATTTGGTTTAAAAAGCTATATTCAAATGAAGATATGGTCTAATAGAAGTCATTTGTTCTTATTTTCAGTTATGGCTGATATATAAGATGTTCACTGAGTTTTTGCATGAAATGGAGTTGTTTCGTAGTCTTGAAAATGAATTCCCTTAGAAGTTGTGATCTTCATAATAGCGCCATTCAAAGCATCATCTTCAATGAGTGTTATTAATCCACTTGCAATCATTGATGGGCTAAAAATAAAGGAAACATTGGTTTTTTAAAACTAAATATGAGGCATAATTATCACTACACTTTGAATTGTTTTTGAAAAATCTATTACCTTTAACATGTAATAAGGAAATGGATATTATGAAGCGATGGCTACCTCCATATTTTAGTCAGTTAGATATCAACTAAATCATACGATAAGTTGAGTGGTAGATTTCCACGCCTAACCTTCTGTCATTCTGACAGGAAGAATTTATGAATTTATATTTATTGTTCAGAAAATGATTATCTTCTCATCTTTATCTTATAGTAGATCTTAGACTTACCAGATAAAAATGGTATTAAAGTAGAAATGTGAGGAATTATAGATAAAGTTTACTGAACATCTATTATCTACTTGTTGCTGTTTCAAGAAACTTCCACGTAGCAATGTATTCATGGACTTTCCAAAAATCCTATTTTAGCATTATTTCTATTTTACAGGTGAGAAAATTGAGGTACCCAAAGGTTGACAGATAAGTTTATGGTCAGGGGTAGAGGCAGGATTTGATCCCAAGTGGTCTGATTCCTTTGTCATGATGGTTATATCTCTGGGCTGTGAGACCAGCTGCTTGAACTCAAACACTGTTCACCAACCATGGGTGTTGATCAACTGTTTCTTATGAAAACGATCAAAGCTATGGGGCCATATGAAATTTCGCAAAAGGTAAATGTGAATATCGCTTGGAATTTAGTCAAATTAGGCATCACAGCTTCCAAAGGCAACTAAACACCATGTTTTCTTTTAAAAAAAAAAAATCTGATGGTGGTCAAAGGCATTATGATGCACTGCTTCTTGGAATTCATAATGTATAAACATTCTATCCGGAAACCCAGGAAAAAATATTTTTTAGAGAGTTTGCCAAAATGTTCACAATAGCCAAACTATGGAAAGAGCCAAGATGTCCATCGACAGATGAATGGATAAAGAAGATGTGGTGTAGGGGC